CGTCACGCAAGGGGGCGGGCCGGGAGCCCGGGGGTGGGACCATAGAGTCGGAGGCTGGTCCGCATTCCAGCCTCGCGCTTCCGCCACTCTCGCGAAAGGAGCGGGCGGGCGAGGGGATTTCTTCCCGAGACCCCCACCCTCCCTCTTTCACTCACCTTCCTCCCTCCCCACTGGTTGGGCCCCGGACACTGCCTCCCACAGGCGGCACGCCCTCTCGCGGTCGAAGCGCAGTCCGTCCGGTTCCCGGCCCTCCGGCTCCTCGGAGCTGAGGTATGGCTGGAGCCCTCCGCTGTCCGTGGCCTGCACCGTGCCCAACGCGGGATACTCCATCTTCCCCGCAAACCCAAATCCACCGATGGAACCTCGGCCTCGCGAGATGTGGCCGGACGGGTGACTTTGCCCGGCTAACAAATCTCGCGAGGTTGGGAGCCGCGAACCGCGCTGCGGTTCCCGCCCTGGCGGTTCTTTTGCCTGGTAACTGCTTGGGTTCTCGGATCCTCAGCTGCTGACGCGGAAGTCGGTCAACAAGTCTGCGGCGGCTCCCTCCTTTCCGGATGCCTCGCGCAGGCCTTGGCGCAGGGGTCTCACTCTGCACTCGGTCAGCCTTGGACACTTAACATTTCGTTCTCATGAAGGCCCTGCGATGTGGGAATATTTTCCCCGTTTCGCTGGTAGGGAAACTGAGGCTCAGAACCTAGAAGTGGTTTACTCGAGTTCACTACTAGTAAGTTAGTGATAGAGGAAACGCCATCTCCGTGATTAGATACCTTTTGAGTTCCAACTGTTAGCCCCCCGCCCAGACCTCCCCTTAAACTCCTTTCCTGTCAAACTCGTAATTGTGTCGGAGCCACCATCTCTGGCCAAGGTTACCGCTGTGGAGTTCTCTGGTCCCTTCCTTTGCTCTTCAGGTATTCTAAGCACAGCGGCCCCAGTGATCCTCTTGAAACAAGCCATATCATGACACCCAGGTGCTCCAATTCTCCAACACCTTTTTTTTTTTTTTAAATCCTCACCCAAGGATACTTTTCCATTGATTTTTAGGGAGAGTGGAAGAGAGAGAGGGAAAGACAGAGAGAAATACTGATGTGAGAGAAACACATCAGTTGGTTGCCTCCTGCATGAGCCCCAACCAGGGCTTGGTCGGGGAAGGAGCCTGCAACCAAGGTACTTGCCCCTGACTGGAATCGAACCCGGGACCCTTTCGTCTGCAGGCCAACGCTCTATCCACTGAGCCAAACCGTCTAGGGCTCTCCCAACACCTTTTTATCTCTTCAAAAAGCTACAATCGCCTGGTTGGCCTTGGTGCCTCACTTCCAGGAAGCCTCTCAGTAAGTTTCAGTTTCTAGGTCTTTTTATTTTTTACTAGAGGCTTGGTGCACAAAATTTGTGCACTGGGGGGGGGGGCCTGCCCAGGCTGAACCCTCTTGCAGTCCGGGAGCCCTTGGGGGATGTCTGACTGATGGCTTAGGCCTGCTCCCTGGGCAGTCAGACATCCTTAGTGCTGCCGTGGAGG